GGGGCGGGGGTGAATGGGGGCTGGGAGAGGCAAGGCCCCAGCCCTGCTCCTTCTGCCCGTGGCCTGGCTCCCCACGGGCGCCAAGCCCCACCCCCTGCGCAGGGGCAAGCCTCCAGCCCCCTGCAGAGCTCCCCGGCTCAGAGCACGGGTGGCAGGCGGCCCCAGCCTCAGCAGTGCCGAAGCCCAGTGGCCCTCCTGGAGCTGGAGGCAGAATGCGGGTGGGTCGTGCATCCCAGGTTGTGAAGGCAGGGCCCCCCCGCCCGCTGCCCGAGGAGGGAAGTGGAGCCCTGCCCTGATGCGAGTGCAACGCCGCTGCTTGGCCCTGCCTGGCCTCTAGTGCCTGCTCTGGAGTTGGCTCCCCCAGCCCTGTTCTCGGGGAGAGGCGCGCTCACTGCCTGCCTGGAGATCCAGAGCTCTCTTACCCCTCAGGTGTGAGTCGGCGTTCATTACAGGCCGTTAGTCAGCCTAGATGGAGGGAAGTGGAGCCCTGCCCTGATGCGAGTGCAACGCCGCTGCTTGGCCCTGCCTGGCCTCTAGTGCCTGCTCTGGAGTTGGCTCCCCCAGCCCTGTTCTCGGGGAGAGGCGCGCTCACTGCCTGCCTGGAGATCCAGAGCTCTCTTACCCCTCAGGTGTGAGTCGGCGTTCATTACAGGCCGTTAGTCAGCCTAGATTGGCGGTTTGGCTGGAACGCAAGTGGTGAAAGTAACTTCAGACTTCCTGCGGGTCCTGTCCTGCTGCAACGCGGGTCCCTGCCAGCTCTTTTGGGAGCTCCCTGCTGGCGTTAGCCAAGCTCGCGCAGCTCTCGCTGGAACAGCCACCAGGGCGCCCGCATCCTGTCCCCTCTGCCTGGAATGGATCCAGTAGAAGGAAGTGCAGCTGCACACTCTCTGTCCTACGGTGCTGGGCTGTGTGACTGTGCGACATGTATAAATCAACTGTATTTGTAAATGTACAAGGGAGTGCTGCACCTGCGCACGTCAGCGTCCCCTACCCTCGGGTATGTGAAATACTGGGCCCAATCCTGCAGCAGAGGACTTGTCAGCCCTAAAGAGAGTAGGACGTTAACGGGTAGCTAGTTAACCGGTGTCCCAGCGGGGCTCAGTGGGTCCCACCCCGTCCCACAGGATCCCACTTAAATGCTAACTGGGATTTTACATCCCTAAAAGGTGGTAACTGGAAATTCAAAGAGCTCTACGACCAGGCAACACACACAATTGATTTAATGCAAAACCTGAAGCCAGAAGACCAAAGCCTGCCAAGAATCTCTGATTGGCCCCCCAGTGCTGCTGCAGGTGGGTCCAGCTCACAGGTGATGCCCTTTGTCTCATGGTGGCTGTCCATACAGGTTGGCAGCCATCGCTCTCCTGGTCCTAGAAGAGGAGGAAAGTGCATTCTGGTGCCTGGTTCACATTGTGGAGAATCTGATGCCGGTGGATTACTACAGCAGCATGTTGCTAGCGTCACAGGTGAGCAGGGGATCCAGCTGCACCAGGGGGTGTGCGCACTGTTAAAGGACATAGTCAACTCTCGCAGCCTGTCCCCTGGCAGAATGCTGGGTGCTGTGCAACCCTCCGGTGGGAGCCAAAGTCAGGGTTCCTTGGCACCACTGGCATAGCGCCCGTGAGAGTCTGACCCTTGCTGCCCAGCAAATCCTTGGGACTCACACAAGTTGGAACCATAGAGGATCAGGATTGGCAGGGACCTCAGCAGGTCACCGAGTCCAGCCCCTCCCAAAGCAGGGCCGACCCAACTCAATCAACCCGGCCAGGGCTTGGTCAAGCCGGGACTTAAACATCTCTAGGGATGGAGACTCCACCCCTCCCTCGGGAACCCAGCCCAGCGCTTCCCCCCCACCTAGTGAAATAGTTTTTCCTACTAACCAACCTAGACTCTCCCACTGTAATTTGAGCCCATTGCTCCTCGTTCTGCATCCATCACTACTGAGAACAGCCTCTCTCCATTCTCTTTGGAACCCCCTTCAGGGAGTTGAAGGCTGCTCTCCAGTCCCCGCTCTGTCTTTCCTTCTGCAGGCTAAGTAAGCCCAGTTCCCTCAGCCCCTCCTCATAAGCCATGTGCCCCCTAATCATTTTCCCTGCCCTCCGTTGGCCTCTCCAATTTGTCCACATCCTTTCTGTGATGGGGAGCCAAACTGGCTGCAGCACTCCAGATGTGCAGAATAGGGGGTGATGGTTTCCCTTGCTGTGCTGGCAACGCTCCGGCTAGTGCAGCCCAGTATGATTGCTGCAGGGCCTGTAGCAAGGACTCTGCATGTGTCCTTGTTTGAACGTCTTTAGATTTCTGGTGGCTCAGTCCTCCAATGTGCCTAGGTCACTCTGCAGCCTCTCCCGGCCCTCCAGCGTCCCTACCTCTCCCCCAGCTCAGTGTCATCCGCAAACGTGCTGAGGGCGCAGCCCAGCCCCTCCTCCAGTCATTAATGAAGATGTTGAACAAAACTGGCCCCAGGGCCAGACGCTGGGGCACTTGGCTTGGCACCGGCTGCCAGCTACACATCAAACTGTTGATCATTATCCAGGGAGCCCATACGTCTAGCCAGCTCTGTCCACCTCACCATCCATTCAGCTCAGCCACGTTTCTGTAACGTGCTGCCAAGAATATTGTGGGCTGGATGGACCCTTGGCCTGATCCAGTGCGGCCGGTCTTATGATTTTGGTGTTGCTGTACCCTGGCTGGCAAAGCTCTGCCGTAGCCAAGGCACGTCATGCCCAGAGCCAGGTATCCCCCACAGGAGCCAGGCAGGGCACTCAGAGGAGACACTCCAGGCTCCGCCCCCTGCTGTGCTTGCTCCTCAGCGGTACCTTCTCCGACCAGGGGTCTCCGGCCCCGCCCCGCCTGTCCCAGAGCGGCTCCCGGGCGTCTTTGGGGGCGCCAGCCAGACGCCCTCCACACGCGCCAGCCAGACGCCCTCCACACGCGCCAGCCAGACGCCCTCCACACGCGCCAGCCAGACGCCCTCCACACGCGCCAGCCAGACGCCCTCCACACGCGCCAGCCAGACGCCCTCCACACGCGCCAGCCAGACGCCCTCCACACGCGCCAGCCAGACGCCCTCCACACGCGCCAGCCAGACGCCCTCCACACGCGCCAGCCAGACGCCCTCCACACGCGCCAGCCAGACGCCCTCCACACGCGCCAGCCAGACGCCCTCCACACGCGCCAGCCAGACGCCCTCCACACGCGCCAGCCAGACGCCCTCCACACGCGCCAGCCAGACGCCCTCCACACGCGCCAGCCAGACGCCCTCCACACGCGCCAGCCAGACGCCCTCCACACGCGCCAGCCAGACGCCCTCCACACGCGCCAGCCAGACGCCCTCCACACGCGCCAGCCAGACGCCCTCCACACGCGCCAGCCAGACGCCCTCCACACGCGCCAGCCAGACGCCCTCCACACGCGCCAGCCAGACGCCCTCCACACGCGCCAGCCAGACGCCCTCCACACGCGCCAGCCAGACGCCCTCCACACGCGCCAGCCAGACGCCCTCCACACGCGCCAGCCAGACGCCCTCCACACGCGCCAGCCAGACGCCCTCCACACGCGCCAGCCAGACGCCCTCCACACGCGCCAGCCAGACGCCCTCCACACGCGCCAGCCAGACGCCCTCCACACGCGCCAGCCAGACGCCCTCCACACGCGCCAGCCAGACGCCCTCCACACGCGCCAGCCAGACGCCCTCCACACGCGCCAGCCAGACGCCCTCCACACGCGCCAGCCAGACGCCCTCCACACGCGCCAGCCAGACGCCCTCCACACGCGCCAGCCTGCGCTAACTTCAGCAAGTCGCTCCAGTCCTCAGGGATTGCAGGCTGCTTGAGCTCCCGCCCTGAGGAGGTTCCCCCACAGGAGAGTCGCTACACAGCAGCCTGTTTTGCATGAAATCCTGCCGCTTCCTTCCCCAGCTGGGACTGGATTCTAGCCCCGTTCTTGGCCCTTCCTAGTGGGATATCATTTCCCTCTGGGGCCACTGAAATACTAGGCTGCTCCCGTTCGGGCAAAAGTCCTTTTGCACAAAAGGGCCAGTGTAGACAGCTCAGATTTGTTTTGCGCAAAAAATCCCCGATCGCGAAAATGGCTATTGGGGCTTTTTTGCGGAAAAGCGTCCTGCCAATCTAGACACTCTTTTCCGAAAATGCTTTTAACAGAAAACTTTTCCATTAAAAGCATTTGCGGGAAATCATGCCAGTCTAGACGTAGCCATGAAAACACAGAGAAAATCTCTGGGCACAGTGTGAGCTAGTAAAGGGGGAGGGGAGGCAGAGATTCAAACAAAGCAGTTCAAACCAAACCACAAAATAAAGAAAAGTTACCCTGAACGTGACTAGGTCTACTTCTCCTTGTACTCCCAGTCCCCTCTCCGCTCAGTCCACTCCCTGCTCCCCATTCCTCAGGGACACGGCGTCCTGCCTGGGTTTACATCGCCCTGTGCCTCCCGACTCCTGGTTTCTCTCCCGCACCGCGAGCAGGCAGGGAACCTAGACCCAGTTCAGATTTCAACCCACTGTCCGGAGTGTTTCTCCAGCCCCCGGCCAGCCCCTTTGCTGACTACCTGAATGTGACCCCTTGCCCCCCGTGCTGGTCAGCCCTCCTCCTGTCCATTGCAGCCTCCCTTACTGCCGTCTCCCGTGACCCACGGAGCCCGATGGTCCTTGGGATCTGGCTGTGACGGGACCTTGATAAGGCATAGTTACTCTGCTATTTCCAACCCAATGGCAACAGAAGTGAAATCCAGGACCCCTACCAGCATATCCCCTTCAAACCCTCCCCATTCCGCTGGGATTCTGGCTGTGGGCAGTTCTCTGGCCGACTCCGAGAGAGCTACAACAGTGACCCTTTCACCTGGCCGCGCAGGTTCCGACCTGCCAAGATGTCCCTTGACGAAAGTAATGAGAGCGCCCATATCGCACCATCTCTTGCATTCAATCCCATTGCGCTCCATGGATTTCTCACTTCCCTTTTACGCCTCAGTCCAAGCATGATCTGTACCAGGGCCGGCCCGAGGCACTCTGGCGCCCCGGGCACGGGTGTGTGGCGCCACCCCCGGGCGCATGCGCGGACCCACCCATGGGGAGCGGGCCCACCCCCGGGGCGCACGGCCCAAGTCCGGCCCAGTGGTTGCTGCTGGGGGGC